TATGCCAATGACAGACCGTGCAAATAGCGACTTGGGATAGGTGTTGCACCCTTGTTGCCCTGTTTTCCAGGAGCGACCTGGTACGTCTTGATTGTCTCTGGGCATGCATCCTACGTGGTTTTACGTCTGTCTTTTCCACATAATTTCCCAACATGTGGAGTGTTCCGGTGAAAACTAGGGCTAATCCCTAAGAAGGGTTCATGGACAAAAAAGAGTGTCTGGCCATCAAAGACCGGCAGGAGCTTGAGACAGGTGCAGGGTCTGAGTGAGCGGCAGGGCCTGAGAGAGGGGCAGGGCTGAGAGAGGGGCGGGGCCTGAGAGAGGGGCAGGAGCTGAAAGGGCTATGCTGCCCTCCTCTGGGCTGGAGCAGAGCGCAGCCTGAGCCACCTTTGGGCGGCTTGAGTGGAGGGCACTGGGGCTGCAGGTGACCAAGAAGGTTCCAGCTCCTTTATTCTCTACTGGGCTCTGAGTGTCCTCCGGGTATGTCACCACACAGACGCGTGTAGATGAGGCAGCTGCTTTTATTAGGATTGAAGGGAAAGTTGTCCCTGGCGGAGGGGGCCTGGGTTGGGGGGAGGCTCCGGGGTTACTCCTCCTGCGCTGGGTTGTCACCCATCCTGGGAGGGCTCAGCGCCTCCTTCCAGGGGGAAGCCGACCGCTGGTGCCACAGGCTCAGCTCCGGGGCATTCCTCAGGGCCACTCTCCTCCGTCCGAAGCGGCCCACAGGCCTGATTCTGCGGCCCGTGTACCAGGCAGGGTCGATGTCCGGGGCTGGAGAGAAAAGGCGACTCAGTCGCAATCTGTGTTCCCGGGTATGCTCAGTGCCCTGCCGGGTGGTGTTGGGGGCAACTGCCTGCTCCCCATGGGGCTCTGAGCTCACAGGCCAGGCTGGGGCCCACCCACAAAGGAGGGGCACTCGGAGGGTCAGCGACACCTTTTCTGGGTGGTGTGGGGTGGCTTTGGGAAACAGGAATTCAAACTCACACCAGGACCAAGGACTAGTCCCCTCCTCACCCCCACCATTCTGTGTCAGCAGGGGACCAAGCATACGGGAGCCCCGGCCACCCTGGTGGTGGGAAGTGAACCCTGGAACGCGTGCTGGACAGGGACACTGGGAAGCGGGTGACAGGGCCACTCTGGGTTGAGGACTGCTGAACACAGGCCGACCCCCCAGAGTTGGGCACATAGTAAGGACGTGCCCCAGGTTAGGAGGTGGCTCTGGGGTGCAGGGGTGGGCGAGGGAGGCTGACATCTGGGTGGGTGGGCACTCACTGCGGGTCTCCATGGAGTGCTGGTGGACTGGACATGTTGCCCCTCGCAGGGCCAGGCCCAGCAGCAGCAGGCACAGGAACCAGGCCTGCAGCACCTTCAGCCCCCTGGCTCCTCGCCGAGGCCCCGCTCGAGGTGGGATCCCACACGGGAGGGCTCGGCCTGGGGCAGAGGGGGCAGGAGCAACGTTAAACACGCATGAGGGCGCCTGTGTACAAAGCTGGGAGCCTTAGGGAATGTGAGTGCCGTGTGTGCGTGAGAGAGTGTGTGTGCACGGGTATGTGAGGGGTATGTGCAGGCATGAGCTTTGTGTGTACATGTGGGAGGATGTGTGTTCCTGGGAGTGTGTGTGTGAATTCTCTGCTCCGTGCTGGGTGGGCATGAACACAGAAGTAGCAGACCGCCTGGCACAGTCCCTCGCCTCTGCAGGACCCCATTCTGTCCTCTGCACAATGAGTGTTCAATGAGGTGGTCGTGTGTGTCAGCCTCTGTGGCTCTGTCATGGGGGCACTGACCCTGTGTCATCAGAAGGAACCGGGAGGTGTGTAAGCTGTGGGTGCAGAGAGGCAGGCTGCCTGGAACAGCTCGGTCTGTCAGTCTGTCTGTGTGAGGGAGCTGGGGGGTGTGGGAGGCCTCTGCATGGCTGTGTGCCGTGCACCCAGGCCTGGGCAGGGCGGGTAGAGGTGAGCAGGTTTGTGGGGAGCTGCCTGGAGGAGCCCAGAGGAGCTGCAGGGGTGGAGGGAGCCCAGCCTGAGTCAATGCTGGGGGTTGGGGACTAGGCATGGACCAGGCTCAGGGGCTGGGACCCCAGTGCAGGGTTCTTTCCCTCCTGCCACCTGTCCAGTCCTGCCCCCAGGCCCATTGGAGGATGTGAGTGGACAGCTGGGCATTGTAGGAGGGTCAGCGTCCTATGTCGTACCAAGAGCACCCCTGTCCCCATGACCCCTGGGACCTGCCACCAGCCGCAGGGCATCCCCCTACAGACAGGGGCACTGCGGGCAGCAGAGGGGCCGGAAAATGCATTTTGTCCTGTGGGTGGAGGCAGTGACCTGCCTGAACTGGTCCGTCCAGCAATTCCTCATGCTGGGTCCTCTGTCAGGTTCCCCACCCTGTCTGTCTCAGGGAGGACCCCTCTGCCCACCTTGACTTTCCAGCCTGTCCCTGAGCCACTCAGAAGGTGCTGTCCACCTGGGTGACTTAAAATGCCCACCCTTTTCTTTTTTGGGTGTCACACAGGGGGTGGGGGACCCCGACCAGGAAATGGAGGTGCCACCCTGAGAACAGAGTGTAAAGAGATGCTGCTTTCTCCTCCCCAGGGGCTGGGTTCATGCTGGATGGAGGGCACCTCAGGAGAATGTTAGCAGCGCCTGGCTCCTGATCCCCAGGGGGATTCCCTGTCTGCATTCTCAGTGGGGTGCAGGGGTGGCCTCCCCCCTTTGCCTTCACCATGGACAGCACTTGAGTCCTAGGGACCCTGGGCAGGCAGGAGTGGCCCTCCCTCGGACACATAAACCGTGGGATGGCCGCCCCTGCCTGTCCCCTGCCTCTCCCACCCAGTGCTAGCCAGCTCGCCGCCGGAAGAGCCAGCACGGCCTTCGTAGAGCCCAGACCCAGAGGGAGATTTGCAGAGTGACAGTCCCCTGGGCTACTCACCGCTGTTCCCCATGATGGTGCCGAGCGAGGCCAGTGTCCTGAGTGTGACTCAGCGGGAGCCAGCCTACCCCTTTTATAGCCCCCGGAGGAAGCAGCCCAGCCCCCTGACGCCCCCCTCTCCCCCTGGTCCCCGCCCCCCTCACAAGGGGACGTCAGAGTCTTTGTCTATTTTCTTTTTAAACTCTCATCAGCGATGTGATTTGTCCCTTCCTTCCTGGGTTATATAATTTCATTTGGGCCAAGTGGTTTTAAAACACATTAGCCTTCCTTCTTCACGCCGGCCTTGGGGACACGGCAAAGTCAAGTGCCAACAGTCTGGGTAGCGCGTGAGCCACTGCCTCCCACACAGAAAGGTGACCGTGCGGCCACTCCTTCCCCTCCTCCAAATCATGGTGAACAGAGAAGTCGTCACGCCGGACACGACGGTGTTACGTCTCCACGAGCCTCCTCAGTCTGTGGCTTTCCATGGTGACATTCTCATACACAAACTACTCTCGTCCATTTCATTGCTTAAGATCGGTTCCTCTCTAGGCTTTTACAAGTCTTCATCATTAATGTTTTCAATGGGCAAGTTTATTAATATCAGGAAACAAAATGTTGAATTTTATTGTAAAAGCAATTTATACACCTCTGGAAAGAAATGAACACGTGTAGAAAAATAGAAAAACACACACAGAAAGAAAGCACAATAAAATCAAAGAAGCGGATCGTTTTCACAGGTGATGTGCTTCCTTCTATTGGTTTCCCACATCTTTTCTGGGTCAGTTCATCATATTTATATGTTTTTGAGTCTCACTCTTTTCATTTAACAGTTATGTCCTCGAGTTGAAATAACTGACAATATTCTACCATTTAAGTTGGACCTAGACACCTAACTCATTTGTGTTCTGAATAATTAGATTATGTCAAAGGTCACTAAGTGCTGTTGAGTGCAGTGTCAGGGAGCCTGTCCTGGGGGAGGAGACATGGGTGGCCCCCTCAGGCATGTAGGCTTGTGATAGGACATGTCATATGACCATCACTTCTCAGAAATTCTTCAGGGCTGTACCTTCCCCTCTGGGAATTGGCTGCCCATTCCTGGTGACCAGCAGGCTCCCTGCGGATCTGAGGTCTGTGAGCACTGGTGAGGGGGCAAGTGACTGGGGGCTGGGCAGTGGAGGGTGGGTGCAGGGCTGTGATGGTGGCTGCAAGGTGAGGTCACTGGGGGTGGATTCCATCAGAACTGGGGGAGTCTCAGGGGTAGTGGTGGCCATGTGCTCAGGGGTGTTTCTTACGAATCGTGGCGAAGGGCCGCTGTCAGGAGATGTGCTCCTGTCTTGGAGGCGGGCCCTCTGGGTGGTCCCCACAGATGTGTGCGCAGTCAGGGCCACCTGGAGGCAGCTGCCTGGGCATCACCACGGGAGCATGTGTGTGCACATGTGTATGTGTGCACGTGTGCCAGTACAAGTGTGTGGGCACACATAAGCCTGTGTGTACATACACGTGTGCCTGTGTGTGTAGGGGGGACAGTAACCCCTTTCAGCAAAGTAGCTTTGTCACAGAGTGGCATTGGTGCCCTACCACTTTGGGCCTTCACCAGTGGGTGTCTGTAGGCAGTGGGAGATGAAAAATTAAAGGTATCAGTTGAGGAAAAAAACCCTAAATAAAATATTTTTTCTTCTATCACCATTTATTCTCTTTACCCTCTTCTACCTCCCCCACCCCCTTTAAATAAAATATTAAAGAAATAAATTCAGCAATGTACTAAAAACCTAATTATCTTGACAAAGTAAGGTTTATCCCAGGGAAGCAAGAGATTGTTCCTGTTGGAAAAAGTCATGAGGTGACTGAGGGGAGTCGAGAAGTCTGGAGTGGTCTGGGAGACACAGAGGATAGAGTGTGGTCTGATGAGGGGCAGGGTTAGGGTCTGGGGCCTGGGGTTTCTGGCTCCAGGGCTGGGTGGCTCGGATGGGAGCTCTGTGGATGGGAGAATGGATGAGTTCCGTGGTGGCAGGTGTTGGAAGAGCTGGAGGGATGACCATGCGACTGCTCTGTGCATTAGTAGCTCCTTAGGGAGACCTTGGTCATGGACCAAACACAGTGTGAACAGAGCACAGGTGGCCATGAGCAGGTTCTGGGGCACAGCACCCCCTATCCTGTTGTAGGAACACGCAGGGACATAGAGGGCAGCCAGAACTGCATCTTCTTTGACTCCTAGGAGCTCACTTTGACTTTAGTTTACTTTGTGAATAAAGGACGGCCTCCCTTTTCACTTACAAGAACCCTTTTAATCATTTGTAGCATTGACTTGGGAGCAACGCCCTTTAACCAGCCTCCGTTCTGAGAAGGGGCCACCAATCCCAGCATAGCCCGAGGCTGGCTCCTTCCGTCCCCTGGAGGCTGCCTTTGCACCGGGCGCTGTCCAGGACGCAACCCCTGTGGTGACCTGACAATGGCTCAGGGTGGAATCTGTGCAGCTGTGGGTGGGGCTCATCATCAAAGGCCCTTGGGCATCACTTCTCCATCTTCCTCTTTTGGGTACCATGTGAACTGGACAAGATACCCACTGAGAGTGCCAGGTTGAAGCTCACCCAACATCACTGCAAGAGTATAGAAATCACAGCAGCAGCTCCAGGGCACTGCCTCGCACCAAGGGCTCCATGTCCTCCTCTGCAAAACAGGCTTAAATTTGATCTGAGGTTTAAACAAACCAGGGAACCTACAAAACCACAGCCAGGCTTGGGATGGGGCGATATGGTTAGTTTCTGTGCTCAAAGGCAGCTCTGGAGGCTCACAGCGGGCTCCTCTTACAACTGAAAGAGCCACACAGACACCCAGACGTAGCCCTGAATCCTAGCCTGTCTGAGATGGTGGACTTAGGGCTCATCTATGGAGCTTATGGCAAGAGGCTGGCGGGCACCACTCATTGGTCCTGGCCCTCTGGGCCCCAGGCTGCTGCCCCGTGTACACTGCGATCACCGCCTCTCCCCACAGGTCCTCTAGGTCTGTGTCTGGGCACTGATCATATGCCACTCCTACCATGTGTATGCTCTGCCCTTGACCAGAGGGTAATGTCTCCCAGTCTGTGACCCACAGATGAACTTGCAGAATAGGTATATATGGGGGGGGGGGTGTCAGGGGCTCTATTCCTCTCTCATTATTCAGCTGATCATGGGTTCAGTTCCTTCCTTGTATTGATGCCCAATTTCCTTCTCCAATTACACCCACACAGAATACACACACACCGGCCTGGCCCACACTCTGATGCACATTGTCATTCCTTTCTGTTCCATTCATGAAATCGACATAAGAAAGGCAGCAGTGAACGGGGTGAAAGTTCTTGCTGAATAGGTTTTCTGTGTGTCCTTCAAAAAATTTAAACAACATTGTCCTGAAGGAAAGGTGTAGCTTAGATGTCTCTCACGGATCAGAACAGGCTGGCCCGGTGGCCTGGGAAGTTGTCAATGAATGGGGGTGAGCAGCTGCAGGTCTGAGGACCATAGTCATTTCACAGGTGGGGTTCCATCACGGACGGTGTGTCTTCCTGTTTCTCCACTGGATGGTGTAGAATGGAGAGTGCAGGGCCGATGGGGGGACATCATGGCTGTGGGGGAGGGAAAGCAAGGCGGGCTGCTCTGTTGCTCTGTCCTGTTCCCAAGAACCTCTCCCGCTTAGGGCTGGTGGGTCATTACAGGTTTCTGCAATGCACAAACACACATGCACACATAAGCATGCACAGGTGGGTATGCACACACATGCACACATGCACACATAAGCATGCATAGGTGGGTATGCACACACATACACACACAAGCATGCACACATATGCACACACATGTACAATAAGCATGCGGAGATGGGTATACACACACATCCACACACATGCACACATAAGCATGCACAGATGGGTATGCACACAGACACATGCACACATAAGATTTTTGTTTAAATCTTTTGCCAAGTTTACAAGTTACTTTATCCCAATTTTCTTCACTCCGAGGACTTAATACCAGTAAGTAACCCGCCAGGCCACAGAATTTCGAAGACACCTTGGAGAACCGGAGAGAACCGGATGAATCCTTACCGAAAAGCTGTGGTGGGCGGTGCCCCTCCTGCCGTTGGGGTTTCTCTGTGTCAGGGAGCCGCGGTACACAGATTTCCGATCAAAGGACTCGTCATCTTTGCCTTTGGGGAAAACACGGGGGCGGGCTTATTAATCACACACTCACCCCAAACAAGTGTTGTTGCCTCCCAAGAAATGAACCAAGTAGCAGAAAGATGAACATTTCCCCCAAGGAGAAGTTTTCTCCGCATTCAATAGTTTCAGCAAAGCACCCACATCTTAGCAACTGTGCCAAGGAGCGCTCTCTTTGGAGCAGGCACGAAACCCTACCTCCGGGGGCAAAACAACAGAAAGGTCCTTGCACTGGCGTGCGGCCCGCCACTCCTTTTCTTTACTTTTGTGATGTGATCGCGGCCTGAGGGGGTGGGACTCATCCTCAGGAGAGGGTCCCTCCTCAGAGCCTTGGTTGTGAAATCCATCACAACAGAGGGTCCTGCAGGTGCAGGGCGTGAGCTGCTGCGTCCCACGGATGATGTGGAAATTCAGAGCCCTGCTTCCACGCCCCAGAGCCCATCCCTGCCTGCGGGGAGGAGGGACACAGGCGACTCTTACCTTGACTTTCAGGGGAATTGCCGAACTTCCTCCTCAGAAGGTAGGGCCCCGCCGTCACCTGGAAGGAAGGAGACATCTCTGGGCTTCACTCGACTGTAACTTAGAAACACTGGGGGCCAACTTGGGACCTGTCATTCTTCCAGATTCTAAGTACCGGGTGAACTGCTTCTGCTCTTTGGCAGTATTTGAACCGTTAACCATATTAAAATGCATGCCGTCAATCATGTAAGCACCCAGTGCCAGCATATAAAAGGTGCTTTGCTTGGGGGAGCTGCTGACATCGGGAGGCGTGGGCTGTGAGGGCTCCTCCCGCACCCACCCTCGGCCCAGTGCGTCTGAGGCCACCAGCCTGCGAGGCTGGCCAGTTCTCCACCACCCCCTGGACCTGCCATGCTCTGGAGAAGGGGGGTCCACTTTTCACTCTTAGTCTGGCCTTTAGGGGTGGGAGGGAAGCACGCACCTCGGCCCCATCGGCAGGGTCTGCAGGTGGGTCCTCGGGACTCTGGCCCAATTTCCCAGCAAGTCGGGGCAGAAATACCTGGAGGACAAGGAAGAAGCCTGTCCATGATCGCTGCCCTGTGTCCCGTCCAGCCACGGGGCCAGCTGGACACGGGGCGGCGTTCTCTTTCAGCACTCGCTCAGGAATGCGGGGGAGGCACGCTGGCCCTGCCAGACAGGCCACTCAGTGGGCTGGGACTGGGGCACGGCCAGGTTTAGCAAATTAAAATACAGAACGCCCAGTCTGCTCTGAATTCCAGAGAAACAGCAAGTCATTTCTTAGTGCAGGTCCCAGTACGCACGTGCCACACTTACACGGGAAGATGATCCATCGTACGTGTGACATTGAGCTTTAACCGGCGTCCTGTGTTTTACCTGGCAGTCCCGTCCGGGACTCTCCCAGGAACGTCTTTCATTCTCGGCCAGGTGTCCTCGCCATGTGATTTTGCCTGAACATCCCCGACCTGACCCAGGAGAGATGTCGTGGGGGCCCCTGCTGCCCTCCCCACCCCCTGTTCTAGGCACACCATGTCAGTGGCAGTGTGTTAAGATGCCCACACGGGTGGCATCGTTCAGGTGCTTCCTCTGCACTCTGAACTGTGCACCTGGTGTCTTTCAAATCCTCATGGGAGCTGAGGGTCCCTCATAAAGCACTTTCTCCAGTTAGAAAACAAGTAATAAATGAAAAAGAGCTCCCACAGGGCACAGCTCACGATGGCTGTTAGGACACTGAGGCAGCAGTTCAAGGAGCGGGAGATGTCTGGCCCAGGGCTCTCGGTTTCACGCCCTGGGGTGGCCCTGTGGGCCTGGCCAGGAGTCCGGGCACCCAGGCCCCGGGCCCTGCAGCGTCCACTCACCGGGAGCTTAGACCTCCTCCGGGGCTTCCCTGAGGGCCTCACCGTGAGCCCTGCAGCCCGCAAGGCTGCGATCCTGGCCTCGATTTCTGACACCTAGAGGATCAGTGGAAACAGACAGACGTCACTCAGGAGTCCCACCTCCGGTCACAGCCCTGGAAGAGCAGCTGCCCTCATTCACCAATTTTACTGTTTTCTCCTTAAGATTTTACTGTGTTTCCCGCCCAGATGTACTTTCTGGGGTTCCATTCCCTGCAGGTGCCATGGGTGTCGGGGAGGGGCTGGGTCACCCCCAGTTGGGAGCAGAGTCTGAGGGACAGGCCCTCTCTTCTCTGTGGGTCCCTGGGGGGAGGGCTGAGCAGGGCCCAGTCCCTGTGACTGTCCCTGGGAGGCCTGCTCTGTCCTCTGACCTTTGTCACCACCGACACCTCCGCCCTTACACCGAAGCTCTGGGGCCCACGCTCCTCGGGCCAGAATGTGGTCCTGAGCCCTGGGCTGTCCTAACATCTTAACTGCTTCTAGAGAAGCCCCTCCATGGGGTGGGGCCGGGGGAGTGCCCGCATCTTCCTCCAGTGGCTACAAACCCTGCCTGCCCCTCTCTACAGCAAAGGGGAAGGGACAGGGGTGAGGCGAGGGGGGTGGGGTGCGATTCCCACAGGGACCCCCAAGCTCCTGCTCTGAAGCTGAAGGGGCTCTTCTGCGTGAGCCGCTGGGGAGCCCCTCCCCTGCTGTCACACCGTCAGGGCCCCACCGCTGTCTGTCTAGGGGAGCCATCTGCTCCCGAGGCTGTGGGCTACCTCGCTCTCCGTCTGCTGAACCTCAGAGGCCGTCACGGCCACCCTGTCCTCCAGCTGCGACAGCGCCTCGTCCGGGGTCCTGGCGGTCTGCATGGGGCCCTGGGGGCCGGGGGGGCTCTTTTCCCATCTGTGTGTTTGGCCTGCAGACGTGCACACCTAGGACGGGAGAGACTGCAGGCTTCACCAACAAGGCCCTCATCCTACCATCCCCTTTTCTCTTCACTCCTGGAGCTGGGCGGGTGGGCAGACGGTCAGCCAGGGGCTGGGCACTCTGCGGCCCTTGTCGGGCCCCCTCACTGACCTCCAGGGGTCAGCTGTCTGCCCTGGGCTGGGCTGCTGGGTTGGCTACAGACTGTTGACCCCTGGCCCTACCTCTGCCCGTGTCCTGTGGAGACTGAGGGGGGCGGCCTTACCTCTGGGGTCATCCGGGGGAGGTCCTCCAAGGAAGTGCTCCTGTCCAGCTCCGCCCCTTTGTCCTTGCCCTCCTCCTCGGACGAGGCCCCCTGGTCACTGACATTGCTGGTCAGCTCCTCCAGCTTTCTCTTCAGGGTCTCCTCCTCCACGTCCGCCTCCGTGGGCTCGCTGGCACCGGGACCCTGAAATGAGCAGCGAGCGGGTCTGGTTCAGTGGGCATCTGTGCGCATAGTACTTAGAGGCCGGGCTCCGGGAGGGGTCGCACCCCCGAGCACACCTGAGGCTCCCGCTGAGCCCTGTCTCCGTCCACTCTCCACGTGAGCTTGCCCAAGTCCCCGTGCTGGGCCCAGTCCCGGCCGCTCCTGGTGATCCTGATGCCACCAGGCCATCGAAGACCCACCATTTATCTATTATACATTTATTTTTAATTGTAGTTTACATGCCATATTGTATTAGTTCCCTGTGAACAGCAGAGTGATTTTCCATGAATACACCTGACAAAGCCATCCCCACAACAGGGCTCACACATCTGTCACTGTGCGTGGTGTGGAGGCTGCTACTGGCTCTGCTCCCTGTCCTGTACATGACACCCCGAGACTTATGTTATAGCTGAGAGTTGTACCTCTTACTCTCCCCCTTTTCTGCTCAGCCCCTCACTCCCCTCCCCGCTGGCAACCATCTCTTTGTTCTCTGTATCAGTTTGTTTCTGTTTTATTTTGTTCATTGTTTTCTTTTTTTAGATTCCACATATAAGTGAAATCATGTGGTATTTGTCTTTCTCTGTATGACTTATTATTATTGTTTTGTTAATCCTCACCCAAGGCTATTTTTTTCCATTGCTTTTTGAGAGAGTGGAAAGGTGGGAGAGATGGGGAGAGAGGGAGAGAGAGAGAGACAGAGAAATAGCTACATGAGAGAGAGATACATGGACTGATTGCCCCCTTCACATGCCCCAAGCAGGGCCAGGGATCAAACCTGCATCCCTTGACCAGGAATTGAAGCTGAGACTCCTTGGTATGTGGGCTGCCACTCTAGACATTGAGCACATAGACCAGGTGTCAGTACGACTTATTTTTAAAAAAAATATTTTTACTGATTTTCAGAGAGAGAGGAAGGGAGAGGAAGAGAGAGAAACATCAATGTGAGAAATGACATGGTATCAGCTGCCTCCCGCACACCCCTTACTGGGGATCAAGCCCGAAACCCAGGCATGTGCCCTGACTGGGAATTGAACCCGCAACCTTTCTGTGCACCGGACGATGCCTAACCAACGGAACCACACTGGCCAACGCTTTCTGTACTACTTATTTCACTCAGCATCATGCCCTCTGCGTCCGTCCGTGTTGTCATGAATTGCAAGATTTCATTCTTTTTTTTTTTTTCAGCTGAGTCATTTCCTGTTGTATATATGTATCACCTGTTCTTTATTCTCTCATCCACTGCTGGGCACCTGAGTTGCTTCCATATCTTGCCTATTCTAAATAACGCTGCAGTGAACAAGGGGTGCATAGATCTTTACTAATTATTTTCTTAGTTTGTGCTTTTAACAAAGTGGCTTCCGGGCCCTTTTGTTAACAACAAAACTGCCTTTAACAAAGGGGCTGCGGGGCCCTATCTCCAGGTGGGTCAGCAGACATTCCACCGCTGACGTGCGCTTACTCATTCCAAAACCCTGCAGCCGAGGAACAGAAACAGTGGCCAGGACACGGCCCACTCCCACCAGCAAGACCCAGCCCCCGCCCCCTGGGAAGCACCACACTCCCAGACCGTGGATGGAACCCTGAGGCCGTCACCCAGGCCATGACCCGGGGAGGGTGACCAAGACACCCATCTTCCCACACCAAGGGCTCTGGGACACCCAGCAAAAGCTGGGAGTGCACACTGGGAGATGAACAAGGCAGGAGGGGTGACAGGTTCACCCAGGCTAGGGAGCTGGACCTGAAAGGCCGACGGGGATCGTTCCCGGGGGCAGCTCCTGTCCCGAGCAGCACAGGGAGGCGTGAACTAACGAGGCCAGGCCGATCAAACGAAAACTCATTATCTGGCAGGAGCTGCGGGTCACTGGTGGGCCAGGAGACAACTTCAAGCGACTGAACATACAACTTCCTCATCCCTTGAATCACCAGGCTCTTGAGTCACCAGAAGCTATTAGCTCCCAGACGGGGACATGAGAAAATCAATGCTTGTTCCGTTTTCTCCAGGCCCAGCGGACGCAGCCTTCCTGCCATTATCTCTCTCGAGGCTCACCTGGGTTTAGCAGAGGCAATGGCCCTTCTGGTGGAAAGGTCCTCTGCATTGTTCGGGAGGTAATTAGTGTGGTCGTCACAGCACCGAGAGCCCTGAGCGGGCAGAGCCGCCCGCGGAAGAGCGAAGCTGAGAAATGTCACCTCGAGGGTTTCGCTCTGGAGTGGCCTGGAGTGGCCCGGGTAACTGAGCCCACCTCTGGTTGCACTCAGAGTCTAAAGAGACAGCGGTCAATACCTCGGAGCAGAGAGCCCAGAAGACAGCCTTGTGCCCCTGAGGAGTCAGGACGCTTGGCTGCCACTTCAGGCCTGGAGAGGAGGGCCGGGACCCACCAGTGCCAGGAGTGTCATTGTGAGATGTCACTTAAGAAAGATAAACTTCCCACGATGACAACTGGGACCATTCTCACCTGGGGTTGGGGGAGGTGAGCAGGAAGTGGGGGTAGCACAGAGCCATGGAAAGGCAACAGGCCGACAGAGGAGCTGGGGGTTGGCGTGGCGCTCTGAGAAAGGCCAGGTTGGCACCCAGGCCTCTCAGGGGAGGGGAGGCCTCCGGGATAGCATGCCCACCACAGATAGAACAGCCCCGGGTTTCTATCTGGTACTGAGAGCCACTGGGGCCCTCAGACACGCCCATGCAACACCTGCTTCTCAGGTACCAGGAGCCACCTCCATGCAGCTGCTGAGCCTTCCCCCTCGGCCCCCCAAATGGCCACAGCTTTGGCGGTGGCGTCTTCCCCTGTGTGAGCCCCAACTGTCAGGGTCATCATGTTACTAGACTCGTACGGACATCAAGTATGAACGGGTGCCTTCAGCTTGTGGGCAAACCAACATTTATAACTTGCAAGCACAACACAGACACCGGCCATGCTTAAAAGGAACAGCCGTAATTTGGGACTGGCGAGGCTCCTGCGGGGAAACCAAGTCAGTGTCTGCAGCCTGACACGGCTTCGATGTCCCGGGGCCGGCTCTCGGGAGCGGGGGGCTCACTCCCCACTGTGGTGAGGGTTAAGTGCCCGGGCTCCGTTTCCCGCCCCCGCCACCTCAGCCCCGTGGAAGTGTCCTTCGTTCGGCATGCTGTGCCATCTCTGGCCTCCTCTTGGGAGTCTTTCCTGAATGTTCCTCACCCAGAAAGTCCTAACCATGGGTACAAAGCAGAGACAGGTGACCGATCACAGGAGGATTTGCCCCAATAAAACATTGCTCTGGAGAACTCAGGCCATGTCTGTGAGTCTTGGGGTTGGAAAGACTGCTCTATCCTGGAGGGAGGTCTCTGTTCTGGGGGAGTCTCTATCCTGGGGGGAAGGTCTCTTTCCTGGGGAAGGTCTCTATCCCATGGAGGTCTCTGTCCCAGGGGAGGACTCTATCCTGCTGAACAAATGACCAGCCTCACCACATGACAGCCCAGAGCTTGGCCTATGGGTCCTCAGGAGGGGAGCTCCACAAATGCACCCTCCAGATCTCCCCGGAGGGGCCCCAGGGGAGGCTCTGTGCCAGGCACCAGCGTGCAGAGGAAGCTGGGCCTGCACTAACCCAGGCTCCTGCAGATGTGCGTGAGACCAGCCTCGGGGAAGCTATGGCTCAGGGTTCTCCATCCAGAGCAGGCCCGTGCACCCCGTCTGGGTTCCATGCTTCGAGAGTCATCAGTTACAAAACGGCCCCAATCCCGCAATTTTATCCATAGGAGTCAGGGCTCCATCAGAGACTCTGGTGAGTCAGAATCAACCTAGTAGGTCACGATGTTCTCGTCTAAAACAGGATTGCCTTTCCCCCAATAAAATGTACTTGCCTGTTCTAATCAGTTGACTATAAATGGGCTTGTGATTTAATTTCAGTGAAAAGAACCTGTGGTACCCAAAGGAATCTTGTGATGAGCTATGTCGTAAATCAGTGTTTCTATGTGAGCCGTTCTCACTAACTTAGGACTTACGTACTTTAAGTTGAATTTTCTTTTCTTTTCTTTTTTTTGGTTAATCCTCACCCGAGGATATTTTTCTATTGATCTTTTAGAGAGAGTGGAAGGCAGAGGGAAAGACAGAGAGAAACACCGACGTGAGAGAAACACATGATTGGTTGCCTCCTGCACACGCCCTGGGAAGGAGCCTACAACCAAGGCACGCGTGCCCTTGACTGGAATCTAACCCAGGACCCTTTGGTCCACAGGTGACGCTCTAGACCAGTGATGGCGAACCTTTTGAGCTCGGTGTGTCAGCATTTTGAAAAACCCTAACTTAACTCTGGTGCCGTGTCACATATAGAAATTTTTTGATATTTGCAGCCATAGTAAAACAAAGATGCATATTTTTGATATTTATTTTATATATTTAAATGCCATTTAACAAAGAAAAATCAACCAAAAAAATGAGTTCGCGTGTCACCTCTGACACGCGTGTCATAGGTTCGCCATCACTGCTCTAGACACTGAGCCAAACCAGCGAGGGCTAAGTTGAATTTTCTTAAAGGAATGAAGTCCTGACCCTTGCTACAATGTGAATGAACCTCAGAAACAGCAGGCAGCCAGTCACAAAGGGTCCTGTATTGTATGATTCCAGAGTCATTTCGATGAGAGATCCAGGACAGGCAAATCCACAGAGACGGAAGGCGGGTGGGTGGTGGCTGGGGTTGGGGAGGGGACTGGGGGTGACTGCCCGAGTTGAAGTGGTGGGCAGGGTTTCCAGTAACCCCTCCACCATGGGAACAAGCACATGTGTTTTGATGACATCACTCCTCTCTGTTAAGTAGGCTTGTGCAATCTTATAGCTTTAAAGTATGGGATGCTGTAATTTCTCTGATATGACTTGGTGTTAAGATGAAAGGGCTCCCCTCAAAGAAGCTACTAGGAGTCTTCCCATGCCCCGTACCTGGCTCGCAGGTGAGGTCCGGCCGCTCTGAGTGGAGAGGTGGGAGGCTGCCCTGTGGGCCCGCACGCTGTCTTCATCCGAGGTGTCCACGTCGGCCAGGCACTGCGAGGGGAGCTGCTCGTTCCTGACGACGCTCGCCCCTGGGGAGGGACAGTGGGTTTGGATTGTTTGGGGTGAGAGACTGAAAGCCAATGGACATGTTTCCACTGCAAAAATGAGAGATTGGAGCAACTGTAGACGTGATTATATTCTTGACATTATGGGGCTGAGACCCTTCAACCAGAGTAAGTTCCAGCAAGGAACTTCAGGACACAGAGGTGGCCTGGCGCTCACCACGGCCCAGATGGTGCGAAAGCCACGGTGCCAAAGCAAATGCCCTGTAATTGCACCACACCGAGCTCCAGGTGTGCGGCGTGTGGGTCCCAGAAGCTTCCAGGAGTGGAGGTGACTTTAGGAAGTCTTTCCACACTGGTCACCATGGGCTGTTTTTTGCCAGAACAGTGATGGGCAGATGCTAGGGCAGGGGTGGGCAAACTTTTTGACTCAAGGGCCACAATGGGTTCTTAAACTGGACCGGAGGGCTGGAACAAAAGCATGGATGGAGTGTTTGTGTGAACTAATATAAATTCAAAGTAAACATCATTACATAAAAGGGTACGGTCTTTTTTTTTTTTTTTTAGTTTTATTCATTTCAAACGGGCCAGATCCGGCCCGTGGGCCGTAGTTTGCCCACGGCTGTGCTAGGGGCATGGGTTGCCTGGGGTGTGGCTGGAAATGCTGATCCTGGGCCCCAGGGGGGAAAGCTCACTATCTCCACCTCTTCACCAAAAAGTACCGGCCCCACAGAGCCGCCTGGAGATGGGTGAAGGTGGGGCCCTCAGGGCTGACCCTCACGTGGAGGGCACCTCGCATACAACACTACACGGGAAAGTCACGTGTGCAGGAGTCACGTCTGCACCTGCTGTGGGCAGCCGTGTGAGTTCTGCTGACAATCTGAATGAGCCTGTGGCCCGGGTGCAGGCGGCGTGCGCCAGCCCTGCTGACACTGGTTTCAGCCTCGAGACCCTGTGCTGAGGACATAATGAAGCCTGGACAGCTGGCCACAGCCAGACACTGAATGTGTGTTGTTTTAAGCTGATACGTTTGTGTAATTTGTTACCAGCAATAGTTAACAGGTACGACCTTCTCACTTAACATCTACAAGGGTGGGCTGACGTAGGCATTGTAACCCTTTTCATAACCAGGACCCTGAGGCACGGGGGCTGAGCAGCTTGGTCGAGCAGCACGCCGTATTCCATCAAATCCCAGCCCGTGCAGTTGTTTGATGCTCTATTGGGAAAGCAATAATATTGCCCATCACACTCCCACATATGCCTTTCTTACCACACTCCCTGTGACGTGCTCCCAGGGTAGAGATGGGGGAATGTGTCTTGGCATCAGTGAGGTAGGGTAGTGGGTCTGCAGCCTGGGCTTGACTCAGAACGGCAGGCCTCCCAAGAGCCTTTTCTCAGCGTGATACTGTCTCTGTACCTCCCCACCTTGTCCCCCAGCCCCACCCTACCACCGAGCCCACAACCTGGGTGACTAGGGACCACGGAAGGAGATGAGTGTGTCCACTCTACATGCTCAGTCGATGGAGATTCACTTACTCATTGTTCATCAGGGGAGGTAAAACCCGCCTCCCCCACCCAATGCCTCCAGGGTCCTAGTGGGTGTGTGGATCATGAGATTATGGTCCCTTTAATATAATGAAAAGGGAGAATGGAAAGTGGACAGACAGTGTCTTAACCACATTTCGCAGCTGCATTTGTGGATGGTTGCCCGACGTCAGCAGGGAGTCTGACTGACCGCACACGCACTCCCACAGGCACAGACACTTCGGGATTTCATTAGGAAGCAAACTGTCTGGCAACAAATTCAACTGAGCAAATCTGGGTTCTCAGCACTTACAGACTTCCCCATTCATGGGGGACCAGGCAGGTGGCACCCCCATGGAACTGCACCAGGGGTCCCCAGCAGCACCCCGAGTCCTCAGCTGTGGAGATGCCCTGTCCCGGTCAGGACAGTTGATCCAGTGACCATCAGTCTGTCATTGCAGGAAGACCTGCATGTCCCTACCCTGCAACAATGTCCTCTGTAAAGGTGGCAGTGAGCCCTGGGGGTTTGGCTCAGTGGATAGAGCATTAGCCCAAAGACTGAAGGGTCCCAGGTTCGATTCCAGTCAAGGGCACATACCTCAGTTGCAGGCTGGAGCCCTAGCCCTGGTCGGGGTGCATGCAGGAGGCAACCAATCGATGTTTCTCTCTCTCCATCTCTTCCCCTCCCTTCCTCTCTCTCTAAAAATCTAGATATATAAAGAGGAATATGCTAATTGGTCCTAATGGTGTCCTGCTCAACAGGCTGCACTCGCACAGGAGCTGGTGGGTGGAACTGGGGCGGAGGCGTGCGCAGGTCCGCAGTCCTGCCTGGCCCAGAGGGGAGCGTCAGGACGGGGCCAGGGCCTCGGTGGAGAGCTCTCAGCACTCCTGCGCTGGGGTCTGAAGGCACAGAGAGGAAGGGAGAATAGATGGGCAGTTAGGGGGATCAGGCCAGGAGGGGAGAGCAGATAGGCAGTTAGGGGGATCAGGCCAGGAGGGGAGAGCAGACAGGCAGTTAGGGGGATCAGGCCAGGAGGGGAGAGCAGATAGGCAGTTAGGGGGATCAGGCCAGGAGGGGAGGGCAGTTAGGGCCATCAGGCCGGCAGGGGAGGAGTTAGGGGCATCAGGTAGGCAGGCAGGTGAGTGCTTAGGAGCCAGTGGTTCTGGATTGAGAGAGGGATCCCAGATTGAAGAGGGTGCAGGCCAGGCTGAGGGACCCCCCGCCCCCGTGCATGAATTTCGTGCACTGGGCCCCTAGTCAATATAATAATGTCCTTGGATGAGGACTAAAAAATAACTAAAAAAAAAATAACTAAAGGTGGCAGCAGCTGTGTGGTCAGGTCGGGGTCAATGCTGGTTACCTGAGTGCTGCAAGGGGCACACGGAGCCCGGGGGAGGCAGGTGTCCATGAGGTTTGTTGGGACTGCACATGCCCGTCGATCACAGGGAAGGAATGGGCTACTTTAAATCAGTCAGTGTGTCTGCCCAAATTGGGGTGGTGGGCAGGGTTTCCAGAAACCCCTCCACCATGCAGAACCCAGTTGGAAGACAGCGGCCAAGGGCACCTACCAGGAGTGGCAGCGATCCCCGGGGCTGCTGGGCAGGACTCTCCTGGCAGGCAGAGCTCAGCGCGGGCATCCCATCCGGCAGGGGAGAGGCTGTCTGTCTGCTCTTCTGGGTGGGGGTGGCACCCAGAGGCCCTGGCATCAGCCTCCTGCAGGACCATGGCCTCCTGGGAGGCGGCCTCCTCCACGCAGGGCTCACCTGTGAGGGCCTGAGCACATGGGGCCTGTCAGCCGCTGGAGGGTTTGGCCTTGGGGCAGCTCCTTGGCGTGTGGGTCTGTCTCGTCCACATCCGGAGGGCTCCCAGGTGTCCTCTGCTGACCGAGCACCACACACCTGCCCTCCGGCCCTTACATCGCAGTTCCCTTCAGTTTCAGAAACCGAGCTTTCATGGCCTATTCTGCATCCTGTCTCCAGAGAAGGAGGTTGGGGCCTGACCCCTGGGCCAGGTATCACACAAGGCGACAGAAACACTTCCGACAGCCTCGGGGCATAGACCAAACCCAGAGACCAAAGCCCTGAGCAAGTGGGCAGGAAGTGTGTGTGTGTGTGTGTGTGTGTGTGTGTGTGTGTGTGTGTGAAGGTCAGAGAGGCAAGAGTGGGTGGGGGTGGGGCAGCCCCTTGGCTGTGAGCCCCACACCCCTCCCCACCCTTCCTGGGGCCTGGAGAAGGTTCCCTCTACTGTGCCATTGGTCCCCAAGGAAAGGGGGCGCTGAGGGCGTCAGGGAGCCACATGCCCCCACTCCTTTCCAGCTTGGCTGTGCCGGGGCTGGGGCAGGAAGGAAGTCCTCCCAGGCCCTGGAGGCCAAACAAAAGGGAGACTGCACCCCCCAGATTTGCAGCTGGAGCAGGACCCGTGGCCCAAGGCCTCTTGGGTGCTGGCTCCCTGCCCCACTATCCCATCCTCAACAGAGGTCTGCCAATCAGGCTGGGCAGGCCCAGCCTTGCCCCAGCTGTGGCCAGGCACTGCCTGGGCCCAGGGGACCCCCAGCGTTGGGCTGAAGCTGGGCGTCACTCTGGGTCTTGTGCCCAAGCTGCATGTGCCCGGTGGGTGAAGAGCACAGCCACTGGTCCTGAGAATGACCCTGAGAGGGGAGATCATCAGCCCTCCCAGGTGGTGGGGGCTGGAGCCTCACGGAGGGCCCCCAGACCAAGGTCACAAACCTAAGGAGTAGAGTGACCACGTGTCCTGGCTTCTGGGTGGGCCCTGCTGATGCCACACTGCTGCTGTGATTATTAACGGCAGCCTCTTCCACTGCAGGACTCTCCCTGTTTGGGTAATAAAGCCTGTGACCCCCGCTAAAACACAGAGGTCCAGACACATCCAACGCCTGGGCAGACGCCGGTCCTCCGTCTGCCTTCCCGAGTGACAGGGCTCTGCCTTACTTCCGGGACAAGCACCTACCCTGAACCCTCCATGCCCCTCACTCCACTGCCCTGCACCCCACACAGCCATGCTTTTCAGAGGGTACTTGAGAGCCTAGTCCTTGGAGGGTGTGACACTTCTGGATCCTGTCCCTGACCTGAGGCTCCCAGGCGGGATGGGGCAGGAGAGTCCACTCACCTGCAGGCTGTCCGGGGCGGGTGGGACTGAGGACAGGCTCGGGGGGTGACTGCAACACCCCGCGGAGTCGTCAGAGTCGGCCTCGAAGTCCAGGCTGTGAATGGGGAGGAGGCGCTTTTTCTTGGCGGGCACAGGCTGGGCAAGAGGAGAGTCAGGGTCAGTGGACAGGGAGGACCAGACGCCCCTCACCCCGGACGTGGGGTGGGCCCTCAAAACCAACCAGATGAGCCCCAGCTCGGAAGCCGCACCGAAAGTCTGCCCAGAGCCCACCACCCCTCACAGGGTCTGCAAGCCCAGCACCCCTTACAGACACGAGCAGAAGCTGCTGATGGACACACGGCTGCCCACACATGCCCAGGACACAGGCCCCGGAAGGCGGCAGCCTTGGGGGCAGGTAGGCTTCGGGTTCCCCACCCTTGGGGTTTTAGGCAAAAGAGGGGAGCCCGCTGGGGAGGCAGACGGGGGAGGGAGAACTTGTGCACATTAGATGCAAGGTCAGAGGTTAGCTCTGACCCCCTGACGGTCTCCATCCTTCAGATGGATGTGTAGGGAAGAGTGCAGACACTGGGGAATGTTCTGGAAGCTTAGGAAGTGGCACAAACATACTTTTGTCATCAACAGATGCATATATTCCCCCCTCCCCCACCCCCCAGAGCAGCCAGCTCGACCTGGCCAGCATTGCGTCTCTCTCCAAGTGGCTCCATCTATACTCATCATCGCCTGACCCACCCCTCCCTCCAACCTGCTCCCCTCCAACCTGCTCCCCTTCAACTGCTCCCCTCCCATCATCCTACCCAGAAACCCTAGGGGTTACTTTGCGTGTCTTTATCACCATAAATAAATTAAAAATAAGTAAAAACAGAAACAAACACCAATAAAAACAAGGCTCATGTTTTGTCCTAGAAAAAAGCAAAAAAGCTCACAGAGTCCAAGGGATTTATGTCCCTGAAAGGTGCAAAGGCCGCCTTAGGATGACACCAGTGTGCCCTCTGGCCCCTGCCCTCCCACCGAGCTCCAGTGGCCGAGGCCGAGGGCCAGGCAGTCTGCGGGTCTAGGCAGCCTTCTCTGCAGCCTCTGCCCACCCACAGCTTGCTAGGGCTTTCTCAGGTGCCGGTGACCTTATGCTGAAAGTATTCTTCTATTTGGTGCGAATAGCCCGCAGAGATGGTCCGGGTGTGGCAAAGGGAGGCGGAGCCTTAGCGCTCAGGCTATAGTGGAGCCATGGGAGCACTGAGACTTTTAGGAAGTCAGAACCCAAGGCTGCAGCCCCGGGAGTGGTGGGAGTGGTTGGGGAAGACTTACTTTGCTGCCAAGGGGATGGGTCTGAGCCCCTGTATCCAGCTCTCCATCCGTATCGGAATGCTCACTGTCTCTACTTCTCTCTCCCGGGCTTGGCTCAGGCCCACCTGCAACAGACACCTGCATGACTCCATTTAGGGAGAAATAGATTGGAGGCAAACCCTTTGTCTCCCCCCCCACCCCCACACCTATCCTTCCATCCACTCATCCTCCCACCCACTCATCCATCCGTTCCTCATCCATCATCATCCATCCATCCACCATCCACCATCCATCCATTTTCCATTCACCATCCATCTATCGAAAAACATCCAGGCAAGACCCTCTGCTGACCTTACAATGACCTATCCGAGCATCAGTTAAAGCTGGTTCTCATCACAGCAGAAAACCAGTGTTTTGCATCAGTTTTATCAGGGTCACACCTGCAGGTATTCACCCGGCAGTTACCGACCCCTTGAAGGAGGCTTAGAGCTAAGTCTTGTTCTTCCCAAACAAACCACTTCTCCCGCAGTTTCTTATCAGCAGGCCCGGCCTCAGGCACAGCTGGGAGGGAGTGAGGCTCAGTCCCGGGCCCTCTTCTTCCTTTCTCTGCCCTCCTCTGCCCCCAGACGTCAGCACCAGCCAGCCAACTGGGGGCCCCTCTCTGAAGAGTGAGTCTTGAAACTCACGTCGAACAGCCAGACCGAGGGCATTGTGACGTGGACTCTGTCGGCGTCGAGGGAATGTGGACATGGGTTTCCAAAGGCCCAGGTGTGTGTGACCCGTCAGGGTGGTGTCCCTGCCCCTCTGCTCGAAATGAGCAGGATCTCCACGACCCTTTGGTTATCAGCCCCTTACATGACCCTCTAAACCTGGAACAAGGCTTTGATATGAACCCACCTCTGGCTGTTGAGTCACAGGTAAAGAAACCCAAAGGATTTCCCATGTTCCTGACATGGAGCAGAGATTTCTTGGTGGGGAGGTGGAAATGAAGATAAAAGCGTCTGAGCAAGAAGGACTTACTGTGGACATCGGGGGAGCTTTGTGTTCTGCCAGACAAACCTACAACCAAAGAGGAGGGGCTGAGAAGAAAGACGCCCTGCGGGGAGCTGTGAGCTCAAGGACAGGAGAGAGGCGGCTCCTCCCATCCACCTCCACCCACACTGCTTCCTGCAGCTCCTGCCATCCAGTCCTGGGGCCTCTGGGAAACCACCGCTCGGCTGGCCCAGGGCGCCCCACAGCTGCACAGGGCCTGCAGCAGGTCCTGGCTGGGACTGCAATCGTTTGTCTACTTTCATTAGCCATACAGCTTCCCCAGCCTTGTGCTCCTTCCCTGCACCTTTCTCAGGGAATTGTGTTTGGGGCCCCCAGCAGGGAGACAGTCCTGGGGGAGGTCACTGTAGGGACCTGATACCTGCCTCCCCGGGCCAGGAGCCTCTGCGGTGGCTGGAAGCAGGGTTCCTGCTGCCCCACAGCGCCACCTCCTGGCTCTCGGTGACAGTTTTGAAATTGGCAGGCTCCTGGCCACTGACTCACTCATTGAGCTCTGGACCCTGTGACCTTCTATGTCAGCGGTTCTCAACCTGTGGGTCGAGACCCCTTTGGGGGTCGAACGACCCTTTCACAGGGGTCGCCTAAGACCATCAGAAAACACATATATAATTTCATATTGTTTTTGTGATTAATCACTATGCTTTAATTATGTTCAATTTGTAACAATGAAATTGGGGGTCACCACAACATGAGGAACTGTACTAAAGGGTCGCGGCATTAGGAAGGTTGAGAACCACTGCTCTATGTCATCCAGATTCCTGAGCCCACCCAGGTCCCTGGCAATCAGCACCTCCCAGGGCAGGGCCCAGGTCCTCAGGGCTCTGATGTGGCCTGTGGTTTCCTGCCACGCGCAGCCGACTCTGGGGGTGAGATTTCAGATGCTTTGTAGTGTGGCTTTTCCTGTGCTGCCTGTGGCTCCTGCTCCTGCGCCCTGCGGAGGGCCCAGCCAAGCTCCTTCGGCTGCAGGAAGACCCTTCACTGGCTCCTGGCTGGCGGAGCGGGCATGGGAGGTGGGACTTTTTTGGGCTCCAGCCTGAGACAAAGATATTAGCCCGGAAGAAGCAGCTTGAGGAAGAAAGGAGAAAGAACCCTCAAGAATGGGGAGACAGTCCCTCCCGTGTTGCTGGGGCCCTCCTAGTCACGTCTGTGGTCTCAGCGTGGTTGTCAGGAGGTCTCTCTCACTCTTAAAAATGTCCTGGTTTGGAGGATTTATCAATGTGTCCCCCTCCAAATACTCCACCCAGGGAGGGAGGACCTGGGACATAAAGCACAAACTAGGCCCGGCTATTCCATCAGCTGCCCAGTTTGAGAACCTTGGCTGTGAGTTCTCCACTTGCTACAGAGCTCTGAGAAAACACAATTTCAGAGGGTGGGGATGTCAACATGCAGGACTTCCCAGGGCCAGGCCCGGCCAGGGTGCAAAAGGCTGCACCTCACTCAGCAAGCAGCCAACCCCATCAAAACACCAGGCACAGGGACTGACAGGTGCGCAGACGCAGATGCCAAAGGAATCTGCTTGGTCCTGAAACAGTAAAACATGCCTGGGAGCAAAACAGGTTCTGAGACCCCCCCACTTCCCTCCACCCACTCCTCACCTCCCCCTGGCAGCCGCCCGCAGAGGGACCGGATCACTTTGGCACTTCCGAAGCGCTTGAAGCGGGCCCTCACGTGCCCGTAGTACCACTCCAGGGAGCCCATCTTCACGACTCTGCAGAGAGATGGAGCTCAGGCCTGCAGCACTGCTGTGCCCAACCACCACGCCCATCATTCTTCAGATAGCCCCTCCCCCCCCAAGGGAAAAGCCACCCCTCAAAGCCATCAGGGTCCCTGGATCTCCAGGCCCCGCTCACCTGGCCAGGTGACAGGGGTGGCAGAGCCAGCCCTCCTCCTCGGGGTGGGCGTGGCTGCAGCCTTGGCAGGTGAAGAGGCGGCAGTCCAGGCACTGCCGTTTGGGGGCCTCCAGGAGCCGGTAGGGCTGCAGGCAGTGGGCACAGTGGGTGTCGCTCAGGAGGGCCGCGTCGGAAACCAGCTCCCTCTGGGAGCTCTCCTTCTTCACCTTGCCCTTCAGGCCCCTGAGGGAAACAGCAGAAACAAGGAACACGTTGGACATCTTGTTGCAACAGTCTTTGAATGTGTGAGCACACACAGGGGATCCTTCTCACACACCAACACGCTGGATTCAAACGTGCATATGGGTAGGTGGGAACTTATTTTTATAGACATGAAATGGCATTTAAACCTCTCTGTGACTGTTCACATTGTGTATTTTCCCAGGATGTACA